ACGATTAGAAATCGGCTACATGCAGCCCATTTACATGCGCGATGACCGCGTGTTGTGCCTCCATTAACTCGCCAGCATATGGCAACAAGGCATCAATGGTGTAGGCAACGTAGAAATTGGGGTAATTGTCCATGTGCGCGTGTAATGTTCTCAGATGAGTCCAGATTTACTCTGGATTTCACCGATAGACGACAGCATGACAGATTCGGGCGTGGGTCTGTTATGGTGTGGGGAGGAATCACCATGAATGGCAGAACGGACTTGCAAATTGTTCAAGGAAGGTCCACTGGTGTGTACTACCGTGACCACATCCTCGCACCGATAACTCTGCCCTTTGCTCAACGTGCAGGGCTAAAGACCCCTACGCGCAAGCGAATTATTGAAATAAAATTAAATCATATGTTAATCCCGAAATGACCTAGTTTGTGTCGAGTGGACGTTAAACCCCATTTCTCTCTCTCTCTCTCAACGTGCAGGTCACATTTCATCTTTCAAGATGATAATGCCCGTGCCCAGCGGCACTATATTGTCCATATGCCTTGGTCAGCCATGAGTCCTGACCTTTCCCCTATTGAGCATGTCTGGTACATGATCGGGAGATGTGTTCGTCGACGTCAACTTCAACCGACAACACAGCAAAAATTGGTCATGGCGCTGCAAGAGGAGTGGGTCAGATTGACCCAAAACGTAATTGGGCGGTTGATTAGGAGCAGGCAAAGACGAACTGCTGAATGTCTGAAGATTGGTGGAGCAATTACTCATTATTAAGACAAAAATCTAAAACGTCCATTTTACGAGTGAAATGGGGTCGTCAGATAAGCCGCCCATATGAACTGTTTATGTTCATGTGTAGGCAATTGGCCTGTTATTAACATACACTGGTTACCTCTAATAAAAACAGCATTGCATTTCCGCAGTTTTGTATTGTTTCTGAATATCCCCTACTTTTTTTGAAGAGTATAATTACCTCATGTAGCATGTATATTTCACAAACACAGGTCATGAGAAACAAACAATTAATTAACCGCAGCCTAACACTAACTTTATTTTTTGTCCCGCCGATAAATAAATATATTGTGCCGTATGATGTTTGTTATAAAAAAAAGAACACATTGCTGAAAAAAGTTCAAGGGAAGTATTCTACAAAATACTTAAAAAAGATACTCTAAAAATAATTTACACTAGTTACCGAAAAGTGTCTGGAAAATAAAGACTACAAATAAAAAAATTCTGCGTATTTAGAGCTAGAAACTATTTATTTCCTAAACTCACGAGAGGGGCACGTAAACAAATGTTGTATCCACTAAATAAAAAAAAAAATCTAAAGTGTTGCAATGAGTTTATCTTGCCGCACTCGACACAAGTTTGAAAGTTAGAAAAGAAACGAAGCTAATACAGCTAGCTCTGTAGCTAAGTCTCTAACTCAATATCATCCAAAATCTTCGACATTGAAAACATGAATTATTTGTCAATTTAAATCAACATTGATGGTGTGATCTAACCGGGAAAAGATGGGCTTCTGATATCCAATATTTAAGACAAAATAACATTTTACCATTAGTACACGAATCATGTACCATAATGCATTTCGGCGCCATTTGTAATAAGGGACTCGAAAAACGAGGCTAGGGATATTCCACAAGTCATGTCAAACGATGACGACATATTCTTATCTGGAGAGCATGCACAATAAATACTATCGGTGTAGACTGGAATAACCAGACGCTAGAGATTTCCATTTGATTAGAAATTTGAGTAAAAACAGAAACAAGTGAATGTAAATCAGTTTATATACATTCATATCACATTATTTTATGCGTTGCGACCCATTTGTGTCAATTTCTAGGTCCCAAATATTAGCGATTTAGCCCCTTTAAAGGCTCAATACCTTGTTGTAACTGAATAATATGTCCCAATCTTTATTCTGGTCAACAAATTGCACTATTTTACAATATTCCAATTAATTGATGATACAAATTTCATCTTAACACACCTAATTTAAAAAATTGGAAAAATTCAACTAAATGATTTGAAAAGCCTGACGTAAAGCTTTTCAAATGTGACTTGGATTTGAACCCTCTGGACAAGTAAAATAGGATTTAATAGATAATTTACACAACAGGTAGGACACTAACACATCTAGTACTTAGAATAAGACTATTTTTTTATTTTTTGGAGCTGTCGATCCAGCAAGAGTGTTATTGTCCCTTTAAAATCGCCTAAATCGCCAAAATCAAAAATGAAATCAACGAGTGCAATCAAAATTTTTGTTCACGTTCGCTGTAAAATAACCACGAAAGTCAAAGCGCGTAATGGGTGTATTTTTACTCGGCTTTATATACCAATACTTGTTTGTTTAAAAGCTACTTGCGACGTATATTGCTGCGATCTCCCACTCCACTAGATAACAAACCTTAATCTCTCAACCCTCCGTGTTTCGAGATAAGACATGAGCCCATTACCTATAACGTTGCAGCTCTGGGAGCGATTTACACCCGGCATTTTTAAACAAAATTGACAATAGTTTTAATCAAAACAACGATTGATTATTGTTATTTATAATATTTCTACAACACCCAACTACAATTAAGCATATAATCCTACCTGAAACGGGTACAAATCGTCGTTTTTAAAATCGAGGCTTTAAGCCATTACTAAGACCGCCATCTTTTTAAACGATACGCTGTCATCATGAAGGCAGGGCTAAATATAAGGCTTTTATAACAGCCAATCAAAAGGACAATTGAAAGCACAGTAACTATGAATGGATTTCGATGGCGGTGAAATGTCAGACAAAAACAACGCTTCATTAATTTAAAACGCGAATATTTGGAGTTAGGCGACAGTTGTGCCACTACATTGGCCTCTGTAAGTTTAATTAATCATAATATTATAAACTTATCTATTTTAAAGATGTTATATGCATTAATAAAGAAATTGAGTTTGCCACTTGGAACTAAAGGCATCCAATCGTAGCTAAAAACAAACACATCAGTATATCTCAAGGTTTTTAGCTACGTTCTCGTAGCGACCACTCCACATGCGCGGGATTAACCTTGCTCACTCCAGAAAATCTCCTCGATGGTGCAGACACGCAGTTTAGGACAAATCCGTGTCGGAAAATCCTGAGAAACTTTCTCACCTAACACCGGGAGCAATCCCGAGACCTCCTGGTTAGCTCGCCAGCTTCTTATTCACTGAGCCACTACAGCTCCTAGACCAATCGACCACCCTGGTGATGACAATCTGATTATAACACAGATCGTATTTTGTTCGTTTTTTATAGTTCAAAATTTCGTTTCGCTAGTCTTGGTTGCTGTAAGGGATTTTCAAATGAAACGGTCTGCTACGGCAAGTTCTTGGCGTAGGGTGCACGGAACTGTGGGTATTTCACTAGAAACATCAACGTTCATTGTTTACTCAATTGTGAGACATCATAGGGTCAAAAGCGTCTGTACGATCTCTTTTGTGACCTTCCACTACAAACGGTCAGATCTTCGTGTAGCGTAGGCCATTGCGGGTAAAAAAAAAAAAAAAAAAAATGAAACGAACTATAGATCTGTATTTTAATCAGAATGTAGTTATGATAATTATCCATTTTTATACGGCCACATTGAAATGTGGTCGTATATTGTCATCGCCCCCGTCCGTCGTCTACAATTGCTTGTGGACGCTCTAGAGGCTAAAGTTAATATCGAATTGACTTTAAATTTATACACAGTGTTTACTGTCATCGGTCATGAGACCAAGAATCCTATTGCTTTTCAGCGATTTCGAATAATTACTGCCAGAGTTATGGCCCTTGATCACTTCAAAAAATCTTGTGGACGCTATAGAGGCTAAAAGTTAATATCCGATTGACTTTAAATTTATACACAGTGTTTAAGGTCATGAGACGAAGAATCCTATTGCTTTTCAGCGATTTCGAATAATTACTGCCAGAGTTATGGCCCTTGATCACTTCAAAAAATCTTGTGGACGCTATAGAGGCTAAAAGTTAATATCCGATTGACTTTAAATTTATACACAGTGTTTAAGGTCATGAGACGAAGAATAGAAGGCTTGATTTTCAGCGATTTCCGATAATTACTGCCAGATTTATGGCCCGTGATCACTTCAAAAAATCTTGTGGACGCTCTAGAGGCCAAAGTTAATATCCGATTGACTTTAAATTAATACAAAGTGTTTAAGGCCATGAGACGAAGAATCCTATTGATTTTCAGCGATTTCGGATAATTACTGCCAGATTTATGGCCCGTGATCACTTCAAAAAATCTTGTGGACGCTCTAGAGGCCAAAGTTAATATCCGATTGACTTTAAATTAATACAAAGTGTTTAAGGCCATGAGACGAAGAATCCTATTGATTTTCAGCGATTTCGGATAATTACTGCCAGAGTTATGCCCCTTGATCACTTCAGAATATCTTGTGGATGCTCTAGAGGCCAAAGTTAATATCCGATTGACTTTAAATTTATACAGTGTTTAAGGTCATGTGACGAAGAAGCCTATTAATTTTCAGCAATTTCCGATAATTACTGTCAGAGTTATGGCCCTTGATCACTTCAAAAAATCTTGTGGATGCTTTAGAGGCTATGGTTAATATCCGACTGACTTTAAATTTCTACAGTGTTCAAGGTCATGAGACGAAGAATCCTATTGATTTTCAGCGATTTCGGATAACTACTGAAAGACTTTAAATTTATACGCAGTGTTTGAGGTCACAAGACAAAGAATCCTATTGATTTTCAACGATTTCCAATAATTACTGCCAAAGTTATGGCCCTTGATCACTTTGAAAAGTTTTGTGACGCTCTAGAGGCTTATGTTATCTTCCGATTGATTTCAGATTGATACACAGAGTTTAAGGTCTTGAGACGAACAAGTATATTGATTTTCACTCAATTTTGATAACTTGAACAGCTAAATCCATGATTTAAATATTTCGTATACTAAACGTTAGCATGGGGCAGAAATTCATAAAAACCAAACAAATGCTAATGATTTTCTGATAATTATTTAATGAGTTGTTACTCTTAATCAGATTTTAATGTATTATAAATGTTTCATTACTGAAAAAGTAAAAATATGCGACAACTCTTGTTGACTGCCTGGACGATTTAGCTGCTGTGGGCGTATGTTTCGTTGCCTGGCAACCTATCTTTATATTTGTGGGGCAGCCTGTCAATAGTATAGAATTGATTATGTTGTAGAAGTATTTATAAATAAAATACAAGAACATACCATACAGTATCAATTTCAACAGTTTACAACTAAATATATGCCAGAGCTTCATAATATTGCAATAACATGTAAGAATGAAATGGGGTGTAATGTCCTATGTAAAAAAAAAAAAATATACAGAGAGGTAACATTCTTTTATGCACAAATTAAACTTGATAAAATTGATATTTACTGAACATAATGGATTATGGTTGTGTTCTTCTTTAAATGATAAATACTCTATGGAGATATAAAAAATCCTACAAGTTCCTGTATACTTGTTTTTGAAAACTAAGCAATGTAATGACTCAAACAATGGTGCCATCTGGAGAAATGAAAAGAATTTGCCAATGACATTTTGTTCTATATAATCTGCATTGCTGGAACAATTATTTTTATACATTTATACCTGATTGTTACACCTAGTACAACATTGTGTTTTTAATGAACAAACTGGTCTCACTATACATACAGTATTTCAAATAGATTATAAGAATTGCAAATATTCAAATAGACATGAATATATTTATAAAGAAGTAAAATATTGATTGTGATATAATATAAATAAATGAATTATATACAATATGACAGACTGTAAGATTGTTTATGACAATCCCCTGAGATATTAAATCGTAGGTTCTCTACTCAACAAGCACAAAATAGCACTTTTACAAGTTGATCAATTCCTATGTATTACTACTGTAATATCATACTGTACCAAATACCAATATATTATGATTACACTACATTAGTTAATTTCAATTAAAGTTTAAAATTGGTACATAAATTTAAGGTTGATTTATTTATTGTGTTAAATGTTTTGGATGAAAAATTTTCTCGATTAAAAAAATGGACAAGTATAGATAAAATTATTTTTTGTGTTCAGTAATTGACCTATATGAACAAGCCAACAGTGAGGCTGATGTCCCCCGCCGAAATCCCCAAATAAATAGATGAAACATATTAATTAATCGCACATCTATTTTTTTCCAAAGTATCAAGCAATCAAACTGATTATCAACTATACACTAAGTTTCATCACTCTCTATCAGATAGAATCAAAGTTATCTTGTCCCAAAGCAGGAAATTGCTTATCTCTGCTTAGCTTTAGCTCAATATGTTAATCATTGAACTCAGTCAAGACGAACATCTACATCAAGTTTAAACATTCTACCTCAATTAGAAGAAGAGTTTGACCAATCAAAATGCTTATTGCTCGTTAGCCTAAGCAGAAAATTCTCATCATCGAACTTAGTCAAGGTATTGATGTAATGAAACTATACACCAAGTTTCATCACTCTCACTTAATTAGAACTAAAGTTATCGTGTCCCAAAGCATCAACCAATCAAATTGCTTATCTCTGCTTACCCTAAGCAGAAAATGCTCATCTTCGAACTCCATCAAGGCATTGACCTAATAAACACCTACACCAAGTTTGAACATTCTAGGTCAATTAGAAGGAGAGTTATTGTGTCCCAAAAAGTGTGACGGACAGACAGACAGACGAACCCATTTTAATAGTCCCCTGCTTTCTTCGAAAGGCGGGGAACAAATAAAACAAGGCATTGACCTAATCAACACATACACCAAGTTTGAACATTCTAGCTCAATTAGGAAGAGAGTTATCGTGCCCCAAAGTATCAACCAATCAAATTGCTTATCTCTGCTTACCCTAAGCGGAAAATGCTCATCTTCGAACTCCATCAAGGCATTGACCTAATAAACACATACACCAAGTTTGAACATTCTAGCTCAATTAAAAGTTATCGTGTCCCAAAGCATCAACCAATCAAATTGCTTATCTCTGCTTACCCTAAGCGGAAAATGCTCATCTTCGAACTCCATCAAGGCATTGACCTAATCAACACATACACCAAGTTTGAACATTCTAGCCCAATTAGGAAGAGAGTTATCGTGTCCCAAAGCATCAACCAATCAAATTGCTTATCTCTGCTTACCCTAAGCGGAAAATGCTCATCTTCGAACTCCATCAAGGCATTGACCTAATAAGCACATACACCAAGTTTGAACATTCTAGCTCAATTAGGAAGAGAGTTATTGTGTCCCAAAAAGTGTGACGGACAGACAGACGGACGGACAGACAGACGGACGAACCCATTTTAATAGTCCCCTGCTTTCTTCGAAAGGCGGGGGACAAAAAGGACCGGTCCCTTTACAGTTTAATGAGATTTAAAATACAGATGTGACGTCATCCTTTCAAATAATGGTACTGGCAACGTTCCAATTGTATATTATTCATACTAGTTGAAATATTTCATTGAAATGCACATGCAGGAGTGTCTGTATTTTAAGTTGTTTAATGGTCTCGAGCAAGACATTGGGTAATATATAGAAACAACAATCAGACTAATGTCCCTCGTGAAGTATCAATAATATTACTTAATGTCTCGCTCTCGACAATTAAACCACACTGAACTAAAATATGTGTTGACAAAGTAATAAAGTAATACATAATTTTATAAATAGATTATTAATACCCTGTGTATACAAGAAATAAAACAGAAATCCAGACAAGTACACTGAAGAACAAGCCAACAATGCGGCTGATGTCCCCCACCTCAATACCAATTAAATATACGACACTCGATTACTTGCACATTTATCTTTTTATAAACAATCTAGCAATCCAATTGCTTGTCACTCAGCTTAACATAGATAGAAAATGTTCATTATTGAAATTACATTGATATAATGAAATTATACACCAAGAATCCCCCCACCCCCATCAATCAGGACAGACAAATGCTTAGGCCAAGCAGAAAATATGCATCAGATTCAGTCAAAATGAAATGAATAATGAAATGGGGTTTAACCTCCTACTGTTCTGCTCTGAACTGAAGACGGGCATACGCCATACAGTGTGCTATGAGGGAAATTTGGCCTGACAGCGGCAGATTCAGTCAAGAAATTCAGAAAGTATAAAGCAGTGTCCTTGTGTCCCAATAAGTTTGAAGGACAGACAGACTCATTTTAATAGTCCTCATGCTTTCTTCAAATGGTGGTGAACAAAAACAATATGAATGCATTGACTTACACAGAAATATATACTCAAACAAACATACAATTTGATGGCACATGTTGTTTTCAAAAAATCAAAAAACAAAAAACACACATCATCCAAGAAATCTTGAATTATTTCAACCAAGTCTGATTTCAGATTGATTAAGATATATGAAACAAGTTCAAATATTTTTGATCTACTTACAGTAAAAAATTTAATTTCTTGCCTAATACTGAAGAAACTTTTGTTATAAATGTAATGCTAGCATACACATTTTGTTTAAAATGTCCACATAACACAAGACTGGAATTCATTGCAATTATCCAGTGAGTAAATTCACCTAGTAGGCAAAAATATAAATAATTAGTAATTAAAATGATCACAGATTTGCAACATATATATATATACTATGACTACCATATACACTAAAGTGAAAATGATATGTAAATACTAAAATATTACTGTATTAATATTTACAAAGATTTTCTTCTGATATTATTTAACAATGTTCATAAAATATATGACTTTGAGTAATTAGGGAATGGAAAGATATAATAATAAAGATAAATTAAACACATCCTAAAATAGTCTTTTTTCAGGAATCAGGTTTGTCATCTGTATGGCTTTTCGGTGAATCTAATCCACTGTCTGATACTTCCTCCTTGTCTTCTTTACTTTTATCAGTTTCTAGTTCAAAATTCTGAAATGAAATATTAAACATAAATACCAAGTTAAACATACATTATGCAAGAGCTAAATCTGTCTATTGCAGGTCTTTCTTTAGGCCTGAAATGTTATCTAAATTATTAATTAGACATAAATTAACCTATCCAGACCATAACCAACTCTTGATGGCATTGCTAGCCTGCGATCTTTAGTGGATTGTAAGCCGATTTACTCCATAACTTTCCTTCACGATTTAACGATTAAATGGATAATCGAGACTATGCTGTTTATCTAGTCGGGACGTCACATGCCAAATCATCACTGAACCCACTTTTGCCTGATATATCATATTTCTCTGTGGATTATTGTTGGGTAGTGTCTCCTTGATTTTTCTAGGGTGGGTGTGGTTGTGTCTCCCTTGGGGAAACTTCAATATTCAAGATGGCGACCAAACATGGCTGGAAAAATACGAAAAATCATTTTTTGCCATCCTAGGTCGTGTAATATAACGTTTTATAGGTTTTCGGGGTTGCTGAATACGAAATCGGGCATATTTTTAACACACGACCTATTCCAACAAAGAAATTCAAAATGGCGTCCGATATCGTGTAATATATCATTTTATATGTTTTGGGGGTCGCTTAACGCGAATTCGGACATCTTTTTAACATCCGACCTTTCATAACCAAGGTACATGAGAAGCGACCAAACGATTAACGATATGCATGTACATAGTTGGTTTTCTTATCTTGCCAAGTCCATTCTGTGTGCTCAAACGCCAGATGACTCAAAGTCATCTCGCTAGCAAGCGAGCATAACTTATCTATCGATCATTAAGTGTTTTTTGGTATCCGACCGAAACAATGGCTACTAATTGTTTAGTGATAATAACAGTCGTGTAAACTCGATCCATAGTGTCCACGACAGCACAGTAGTTCTGAATAATCATTTTTCTGATAATAACCGTTTTGATTAGTACTACACCTTGAATCTCTCCGTTATTCGTGCGTTTCTGTGTCCATTACTATTAGTACAGCGTGATCACTGGAATATATCACCTTGACTTTCCCTGTTATTTTTGTGTCTATTTCCATTACTATAAGTACTACCGACTCAGATAACCTGGAATACACAACCTACCGTCTCCCTATTATTCTTGTTTGTCTGTCGCTCTTCATTAGCCTAGCCGGAGCAGAACAGTAGGACGTTTAACCCCATTTCATTTCATTTCATTGTGTGTCTGTGTCCATTACTATTGGTACTACTGACTCTAATCACCGGAATATATCACCTTGTTACTCCCTATTTAAACAAATAAATGTTTGCAACCTACATGGTCCTATAAACGATTAAGACGGACATACGCTATTCAGTTTTTATGTTTTGCATCGAATTACGTGCACGCCAACGAGTACACGGGAGGACATCGTTTTTTCTTTACATCAGACCGACTTGTTGCTTTTCTACCAACTTTCTCGGTCAACTCCGGCATCGGAAACAGGATTTCCTAGTTGGTGAGTCAGTGTCATACTCACAACTACTCCTGTACAAGCGTAAATTATGTATACAGTAGAATCTGTATGAGCAGCCACTCCTAGTCAGCGACATCTCCTTGTAAGCGGTCACAATAAATTCCCCCCGTAGAAATTCTGTTTTATCTCTTTATTCAACGGTCACTCCTCTAACGCGGCCAGCGGTCACTATTTTACTTATAAATTCAACAAAACATAGCCCATTCAACGGCCATTGTTGAATGATACCATCTTGTCGTTCTTTGTAACACCCCCGCTAATCCCGTGAGTAGTAGTTAATTAACTGGACCCCCACTGATCAGGTAAAAAGAAATGTAAACATAACAATCAACTCGGGATTATCTGTTAATTAATCTTTTGTTTTATTAAACGACTAACCTGATCATTGTTTTCACGCGTAACGACACATTATTTGATACAGATTGAATAAAATAAAAGTACCAAGTTTTGTCACGATCATCTAGTATCTCTCTTAGCGCATCCTATAATATTACATACAGAGTTACACCCCCTGTAAATAGGTGATAAAATAAGCGATGTTTTTTGTTCATGTGCTTTTTTGATAAAATAAAATGAATTCATCGATTTTCTTCACAAAAATGGATAAATATTATCGAATGCATCACAATGGCAGACAGTAGTATCGAAGGTTGGTACAAAATGACAAGTTTACAGAAGTTATGTCCGAGATTTGATTAAAGAATTTCCGTCCGGGCGCAAGATTCAGCGACGGCCAAATTTACCGCTTCCAATGCATCCAAGCGTAATATTTAATTTATGTCGGCACAAAAAGCAACGAGATTTTATTAAGAGGCCACTCCCGTTAAGTTATGTCCGAGATTTGAGTAAAGAATTTTCGTTCGGCGCAAGATTCAGCGACGGCCAAATTTACCGCTTCCAATGCATCCAAGCGTAATATCTAATTTATGTCGGCACAAAAAGCAACGAGATTTTATTAAGAGGCCACTCCCGTTAAACGGTCAGTTGTGAAAATTCCCTTGGGTGGCTGCTTAATGCAGATTCTACTGTATGTTACGCTTTGAACAGGGTCACTTAAAATGTTCCTAAAAAGGCAGATCAAACTGTCAAGGTATCTTTAACGTGAATGTCAGTGTTTACACGGGACCTCGGCTTTTCGCCCATCCGAACACGGTCTTTGTCAGGCCATACGTTTTGACAAGGGGGAACCACGCTAGAAAATCATGAGTTTTCGGCCAACACCGAAAGTGAACCCGAGACCTGGTTAGCGAGCCAGTGATATTACAACCCATCGTTTTTTTATACTTTCGATGGCCTCTACTACATGAAGATCAGGCAGGTTGTAGTGGAAAGTTGCGTTGGAGGTCATACGTGTGACTTTTGACCCTATGACGTCAGGCGTTTATGTTTCTAGTGGGTTACCCACAGTTCCGTGCACCTCACACCAATAACTCGCCGTAACAGACCGTTACATGGACTAAACCCTCAAATCATCAAGATGATGAAGATGGCACAATATGATACATTAATATTAATATTGCTTTGGTTATATGTTTTACATATCGTATCTTTTTGTTATCATAAATCTAGCTGTGTGAACTTTGTTTTTTTTCTATTTTCTGCCGTCATGATGGGTCTTATGTTAAAACATGTCCGAATTCGTGTTAAGCGACTCCCAAAACATATAAAACAATATATTACATTTTTGTCCGCCATTTTGAATATCTTTGTCAGACACTATAGAATTGGTATCGTTTAATATGGTTGTTTTAGCGCGAATAACGATGCATACAGTTTAATTTCAAAACATTGTTTGATAATTGTTGAAAATTACAAAAATCGTTTAATTAGTACTATCGTTTAATTTAATGGTACACCATTGAATTTCTCTGAGAGCTGTTTAGAAATGGGGGATCCGTTTACTTATCTAATGGATTTAATTACTTGCCGAGCACTTTAATTTTTCGAGACGCGTAAAAAAATTAACACCCGATGAATTTATCTACAGGGTTTAAATATTAGACGAAGCGTTTAATTTCCCGCAAGTCGTTTACGTATGAATTACGAATAGAAAAGGTGAATATAAAAAGAAAATGCACAACCATCGATGCTCGCCTTACCGTGGTCGTAGTGTTATTATCCATTATCCATTAAAAAAAATATGATTCCACCATTGACAAATACATCAAAAACCGGTAAATCACGTCCAATGTTATTATACCATTGGAAATCGGTAAAGCACATCCCAGGTAATGTATTTTCTTTAATTGTTGTTAGTTGTATTTTACGTCCGCTTCCACCGAGGTGATATTGCAGACAAATTTAAATCACAAAAGAATGAAAATAGCCTTCCACCTGTACACGTCGCTAGAAGACCTGGCAATGGACACGTGTCACTGTGATAATCTCGTGAGACTTTTTCACTGGCGCCAAATAGTCGATCTCTATACAAGATGTCGCTCATTTTCAGACAAAGCTACAGGAATGGCTTCCAACAGTATCAAAAGGATACCTAGTATTATTATCCATTATCCATTTAAAATAATAATGATTCCACCATTGACAAATACATCACAAGTCGGTAAATCACGTCCAATGTTACGATTATTTGCATATGAAGTGCGAATACATCAAAAATCGGTAAATCACGTCCGAGGTAATTATACATTTGGAAAGCCGTAAATCAAATCCCATTCGTTCGTTCGTTCCTGGAGTTTTACGTCCAGTTCCACCTGAGGTGATATCGTAGACAAGTCACACACATCCCACTACTACCTGTTGTTTTAACGTTCGCTTCCACAGAAGTGATATCGCAGACAAGCACACATCCCAGGTAATGTATCTGTTGTTAGTTGTATTTTACATCCGCTTCCACCGAGGTGATATCGCAGACAAGGTAATGTATCTTCTTTAAGTCACAAATGAATTAAGTTCCACCTGTAGACGTCACAAGCAGAGAAGTCAACCCCGCAAAGTAATGTTGCACGACGATAATCTTGTGAGACTTCTCACTGGCGCCCATTTTCAAACAGGTCACACAGGGCTAACCATGTAACACCATCGCACGCCAGATGCCGCCCATCGCAAGAATATTTTCTTTCTCCAACTAGCACAACCATTGTTTCGCATACCCTTTCAGTGCTATGAACATCAGATAATAATTTCGCTAACCCCACTACGTTTCTACTACATTCCGTAATTTAACTGATTTATACTATATCCAATATAACGTTTTGATTAATTAAATGAGAGTAAACACTTTTACCTTGTAATTTTATACCAGTTTGCGATTTATTATTACAATCTTATACAAAGTATTTATATTTTATTGTAAATAATTTCCTCGGGAGATGAATTTATATAAGCCCTGGCTTGCTTTCAGATCCCACAATCATATAGGTGTACTTTTATAATATGTAAATATTTATTGAATAAATAGTGTCAGAACAAAAAAACCCAATTTGCATTAAACCAAAGGTACATTTATCACTATTACAATATATGTACATGTATGGTATTAAAAAAATAATGTGTGTCGGGGAGGCCACATAACGGGGATTGGACAGCAGGGTTATATTTTTCTGTCAAGTTGGGTACTAACTCAAAATCAACATTCCCGAAACGGATTTATAAATCAAACAAAACAAATATTTAGCTGTGATAAATTAATAACAAAGAGCAAATTGTATGTATTTATATGTATGCACACTAAACACTAAAAACAATCACAAATAATGCAGGTGGGAAGTGATAAAACAATAGCATTTGAGCAATCAAAGCATTAATCCATACTGTAATAACGGAATGTGTATTCAAAAACATGGTTTCATATAGTACCCAGACAGGTGGCCACAGGTGGGAATTAATGAAACAATAGCAATCGACCAATCAAATAATTAATCTTTACTGTCACAGCGGACATCTATGACTTTGTGTTGTACGTGTATTTTCAAAATAACCATCGGATGACTAAAAAGTGAATCGCTCACAATGGCATGTATACACAGACCCTTTCTGTAATTAATGTGTATGGGGATATAGATTCAGAGGTGATTATGATAATCGTAGTTAAAAGACGAATCTCAATACCTTTTTTACTGTGCATATATATAAATATCTAATAATTATTTAATCCCTGTTTTAACTAATCACAATGTAAAATATTGCACTATATATACACAACGTGTTATTGTCTGCTATATCGCCTCGGTGGAAGCGGGTGGTAAATAAAGCGATCTCAAACACTTAAATATATCCGATTCGTCGGTTCGCGAGAAGTGCAATGAAATTATCATGGCAGAACTTGTAATGTTTTTAGGCTCATGCAGGTGGGTCACAGAATTGCCCCGTGATATGAGATCAAAGAATACATTTGCACGTAGCCGATTTTTCCAGACGTGTTGTATTCAATTGTTAAGACTACGTGGCGCCTTAAATAAACCAACATTACCAACTTCTAACAGGTTCCATTGATTTATCATTTATTTTATGACAGTTTAGACCACAATGTGTTACGATTCGCATTATGGTATTCTAAGCTGATTCTTATACGGAATTCGAGGTGCAATGATATAAATTCGGATTTGAGTGGACGAGTTAACACAATTATACATGTATGTGACCGTAAGCTTATTCTCGGTCTTTTTCATTTTGATTTTAATATTTTATCAAGAAAAACATACATGTAACAACTTTTGGTCAGGTATCACAGCTTTATAACCATTTAATGATTTATTTCTGTATCAATTTTATACTGATTTGAGAAAACCATTGGTTGTTAAAGAATTATCATACTTTTCCCGGGAACTGATTTTTTTTATCATTTACTATAATGTTTTTATTACATCATATATACAAGAATTTCCATAATTGTTACCGGTATATAAAGTTTCATACATCTCACTCAGTTAATCATTTTTTTTATTAATCCATAGCAATTAATTAAGTGTTTAACATTTTATTTAAAATTGGATTACGTATGTAAATACAACCGAACTCTCATATAGCTAATTAAATGAAGCAGTCCAAACAATGCGTAATTACTTGAGATTTTTTTATGTTTTTGTTTAAGAATTTTCATGCAATTGAGAATTATATTTACGCATGGTGTAATCGTTGTACTGCAGTCAAGTGTTTACGTAACATCAAGGCAGTATTCATTGAAACATATTTCCTGTTGATACTGTTTGACCCGCATGAAAATGGGCGACAGCTTGTCTATAGAGATTTTGGCGCCAGTGAGAAGTCTCATGAGATTATCGTCGTTCAACATTACATTGCGGGGTTGACTTCGATCTCTTCCTGTGGCGTCTACAGGTGAAGTTTATTCATTTAAGATTACCTGGGATGTGTGTGACTTGTCTACGATATCACAGATTTTTGATGTATTTGTCAATAGCGGAATTACTATTTTGAATGGATAATGGATAATAATAATATGACCACGGTAAGGCGAGCATCAATGGGTGTGCTTTTTTATATATTCACCAAATGTTTAATTACCTCAAACGTGATTTACCGATTTTTGATGTATTTGTCAATAGCAGAATAACTATTTTGGAATGGATAATGGATAATAATACTACGACCAGGGTAAGGCGAGCATCGATGGTTGTGCATTTTCTTTTTATATTCACCTTTTCTATTCGTAATTCATACGTAAACGACTTGGGGGAAATTAAACGCTTCGTCTAATATTTAAACCCTGTAGATAAATTCATCGGGTGTTAATCTTTTTACGTGTCTCGGGAAATTAAAGTGCTTGGCTAGTAATTAAACCCATTAGATAAGTAAACGGATCTTCCATTTCTAAACAGCTCTCGGAGAAATTCAACGGTGTACCATTAAATTAAACGATAGTACTAATTAAACGATTTTTGTAATTTTCAAGCGTTATTATCAATTATCAAACAATGTTTTGAAATTAAACTGTATGCATCGTTATTCGCGCTAAAACAACCATATTAAACGATACCAATCTTATAGTGAGAATGAAATGAAATGGAGTTTAACGTCCTACTGTTCTGCTCCTAACCTGTCTTATAGTGAGAATAGCTTGGATGTTAAAAAGTTTGAACGAATTGGTGTTCAGCGACCCCGAAAACCTATAAAACGATATATCACACGACCTCGGATGGTGAAAAATGATTTTTTGTATTTTTCCCGCCATTATTGACCGTCATCTTGAATATTTAATTTCCCCCAAGGGGACCCTACCCAACAATAATCCACCGAGAAACATTATATATCCAACAAAAGTGGGTTCTCGGCCCTGAAGTTTGGACTAATCGTACTGAAATTAGTAATGATAATCAAGGCTAGGCAGAAATTCAATCGCTTTGTTCTTGGTTCATACATAGTGGATCAATTTGAATGAAATTTTCAGCAAATTGCCTTTACATTATCTAGTTTTTAACTATTATAGTGAGAACTGCCAACTCGTTATCGAATCTCCCATAATGTATCTTTAACATTAAAGACTAAAGAACAGGCAAAGACAAAGTTATGATTCTTTAATCCTTTCTATGTTCATATTCTTACATTCTAAATTTAACTAAACTCAACCAGTCAATCCAGCAAAATTGTAGCAACTTACTGTCCATAGAAATTAGCTAATTTATTGTGTTCTTTTTTTAAACCTCACTGTACTTTAACAATCAACTTTCATAAAATAAGATTTACCTCTAATTCCATCATAATTTCATCCATAAAATCAGTCGGATTATTTTTGTATGCCACTGCTGCTTTAATTGCATCTTTAAATAACTAAATGAAAAATTCAAGCTTATATAAAATGGTAAACAGATATATTATTAAATCTGTAATGCACAATGCACTTTCTAGGTTTCTTCTGGCAACTGTGGCCTATGGGGAGATAATATGTCTGTTGGCTAAAAAAGACAGATTTGTCTCCCTATAAAAGTTCCTTGAAAGCAAATATTTCTATTTGAGATTACATTTTTTAATATCTAAATTAAATTAATAAACAAGGAACAGAATTTACCTTGACTACATTTGTACCTTCAGAGGCTGACACATAGTAGAATGGCATGTTGTGTTTTTTAGCAAAACCAAATGATCTCTTCGTAACATTTGGATCAGCTGAAACATAACAAATGCATAGGGATATACAAATATCAATTCCACAAATTAAAAAATAAATATATGTATATAAGCTTCTGTACATCAAATTATCAAAAATCCCAAAACAAGGGCCAACAATAAACATACAATTTGTGTAACATAAATTTTTCCACAAAGCCCATTTAACAACTTCATATGTGCACAATACATGCCCATGCCATTCATGTTTATATCAACAAACAATAACATACCATCTATTTTATTAGCTACACATAAACACGGTATTTCTGGTCTATATTCTCGAAGTTCTTTCAGCCAGTCAGGTAAATTTTTATAAGTAATTTTTCTAGTTGCATCAAATACCTGAAAAATACATCATGAAATTTCCTACAATGCATGTTCAGTAATTTACTTCGACTCTTAAAAAGAAATTGTGTTACTTATAATTTAGAAGATAGGTTGCCAGGCAACGAAACATATGCCCACAGCGGCTAAATCGTCCGAGCGGTCGACAAGGGTTGTCGCATATTTATTCCTTTGTAGGTAATTGGGGGCCTTTACAAGACAGTTCCAGACAGATCAGATTATAATTTTTGCCGTTTGGGGGTTCACAAGGTTCTACAAATTGAAACAAGGGTCTCAACTCTGGAAGTAATCTACAGAAATTGTTGAAATTTGAAAGGTTTTTTCATTTCACAAATTTAAATGATGCATATAAATTGCATACATATCGGATGATAACTTTCATCAATAGAGCATTTAACAAGGTTGAACAAAGTTAAGCAAGGACAATAACTCTAGAAGTAATTAACGGAAATTGCTGAAATTCAATAGGATTCTTCTCTTTACTAATTTAAATGACGCATTTAAATTTCATACAGATCGGCAGATAACTTTCATCAATAGAGCATTTAAAAAGGTTGAACAAAGTTAAGCAAGGGCAATAACTCTAGAAGTAATAAACAGAAATTGCTGAAATTCAATAGGATTCTTCTCTTTACTAATTTAAATGACGCATTTAAATTTCATACATATCGGCAGATAACTTTTGATGTTAGAGCATTCACAAAGTTCAATAAAGTGAAACAAAGGCCATAACTCTAGACGTAATAAACAGAAATTGCTGAAATTCAATAAGCTTCTTCGTTTCACTTATTTAAATAATGAATATAAATTTCAGAAAGATCGGATGATAACTTTTGGTGTTAGAGTGTTCACAAGGTTCAATAAAGTGAAACAAGGGCCATAACTCTAGACGTAATACACAGAAATTGCTGAAATTCAATAGGCTTCTTCGTTTCAGTAATTTAAATAATGCATATAAATTTCAGAAAGATAGGATAATTTTTGGGGTTAGAGCGTTCACATGGTTAAACAAAGTAAAACAAGGGCCTTAACTCTAAAAGTAATGAATGGAAATTGCTGAAATTCAATAGGCTTCTTCGTTTCCCCAATTTAAATATTGCATGTAAATTTCACAAAGATCGGATGTTAACTTTTGGCATTAGAGTGTAGACAAGATTCAACAAAGTGAAACAAGGGCCATAACTCTAGATGTTATAAACAGAAATTATTGAAATTAAAAAGGCTTCTTCGTTTCACTAATTTAAATAATGCATATAAATTTCAGAAAGATAGGATGATAACTTTTGGGGTTAGAGCGTTCACAAGGTTAAACAAAGTGAAACACTAGGGACCAGGTATCATTCAGATTTGATGAAAAAAGGAAAGAAACTGAGCTTACCATCTATAATCTAATACACATATTCAGTTAATAGATTGCCATGCAGAAAGTGTTAAATACCATCTAGATTCATCAAAAACTGCCCAGTTTGTGCTACTGTTTAGTTTGACATCGGTTGTCTAGTTTATGAAACTAAATGGTCATAAACTGGATGACCAATATCAAAACTAAACTAAATGGTCATAAACTAGATGACCGATGTCAAAACTAAATGGTGTTTCTTAAACTAAACGGTAGCACAAACTGGGAGTTATTTGATGAATCTTGATGGTATTTAACACTTTCTGCATGGCAATCTATTAACTGAATATATGTATTGGATTATAGATGGTAAGCTCAGTTTCTTTCCTTTTTTCATCAAATCTGAATGATACCCGGTCCCTAGTGACAAGAGCCATATCTCTAGAAGTAATAAACGGAAATTGCTGAAATTCAATAGGCTTCTTCGTTTCCCTAATTTAAATATTGCATATAAATTTCACAAAGGCCGGATGTTAACTTTTGGCATTAGAGCGTACACAAGGTTCAACAAAGTGAAACAAGGGCCATAACTCTAGACATTATAAACGGAAATTATTGAAATTAAATAGGCTTCTTCGTCTCACTAATGTAAACAACATATATCAATTTTAAAACAATTGGATGATAACTTTTGGCATTAGAGCGTTCACAAGAAATTGTGAACGGACGTACGGACGGGGGCGACGGCAATATACGTCCACTTTTATATGTGGGCTTATAAAAATGATTTTAAAACAGATCAGTCAAAAGTGAAAAAGGGAACGACACACTAGTGATCCTCAAGCCAGACGAAGATCCTACAGTCCTTCTAAACTACCTAAACAGCCAACGCACCCATATTAAATTCACTATGGAAACAGAAACAGACCTAGGGATACCATATTTAGATGTTGATATTAAGAAAAATAACAACCAGCTTGAAACATCAGTATACAGGAAGCCAACGCACACCAACCAGTCCATCCATTTCAACTCAAATCCCAGTCTCAATATTAAAACAGCCATCATTACAACATTAGTAACCCGCGCAACCAACATCTGTCACCCAGCCTATTTAGATAAAGAACTCAACCAAATTCAAGAATCCTTGTGTCTCCCTAATAAATACCCACAATCGCTAGAAAAAAAGAGTAATCCAATCAGTTCTTCATCCAACCAAACCAACAGCAAAGCAGAGACCTGATAAACCTGAAATTTGTGTTAGTATACCATTTATAGGCAAAACTTTTTACCATATCTGATGACTCTTGAGACAAGCTGGAATAGAAACTGGTTTCAAATATGGGAAAACACTAAAGGGAATCTTAAAAAATAACGGGAAATCAGTCTCAACTAACCCAAACCAAACAAAAGAATGTGTATACCAAATAACTTGTTCCTGCTCATCAACTTCCATTGAAGAAACTAAAAGGCCTTTAGAACAACGCATCAAAGAACATCAAGCAAAGTCATCTAATAACACATCTGCTGTGGCTCAACACCTCAGCATAAAGTTAACTGGGATAGTGTTAAAATCTTATACGGCAACATTCACAACAAAAAAATATGTCAACTTTCAGAATCAGTGCACATCAAGAGACACCAGCCCAAATTAAACTGCAATGATGTTCTTCATATGCTTACTCCCAGGTTTTTTTGTATAGTCTGATTTCAATCCAAAATGACAACTCGGACACAAGACAAGTCATTTTTTGAAATCAGGCAGCTGTACCAGAGGGTCCTAGAGAAGGGAAACAAATTAGAGCTCATGTGGATTCCATCACATGTCAATATTAGAGGAAACGAGGAGGTAGATCGACTCGCCAACGAAGGTCTCAAGGACACAGCACCACTGCGCACCATAGACTACAGCACCACGGAAATCTACAGTATGGTTAAAAGACAGGTCAATTCATTCTAGGAATTAAAACTCGTTGAACTTGACACATCCATGACAAAATCTACACGAAGACAGCGATCAATCACCCTAGAAGAAATATATGCAGACTCATATCGAAACTAAGGGTGTAAGAGCGGCTGCGACACTACAAACACCAAGTCATCGTCTGTGAGTGCGGAGAAGAATGTACCACCAACCATTAAATTAAAACTCGTTGAACTTGACACATCCATGACAAAATCTACACGAAGACAGCGATCAATCACCCTAGAAGAAATATATGCAGACTCATATCGAAACTAAGGGTGTAAGAGCGGCTGCGACACTACAAACACCAAGTCATCGTCTGTGAGTGCGGAGAAGAATGTACCACCAACCATGTCCTGGTAGACTGCGAGGTATACAAGGGGGAGAGAAGGGAACTAGTGAGAATGATGGAGACTAACAACATACCATACAACACTAAGAACTTACTCTTCCCGAGACCAGATCTGAAACTGCAAATCTTCGAACAAATCCACGCCCTAATGGACACAGTTGGACTAAGTAGAATAGTGAAGTAAGAGGGGGCCACGGTCAGACGGGCTCGGCATGTAAACACTAAACTACATAGGGGATTTATACCAAACTGGCAGGATAGTGGAGAAAGGGAGAGTCACGATCAGACGGATTCTGCATGTAAACACTATTCCGGCAAAAAATAGACATCAAACCTACAGAGTGGGATAGGGGAGTAAGGGGAGGTCACGATAAGACGGGCCTGGCACCTAAACACAAATCCCACAAAGATGACATCTACCAAACTAGCAGGATAGTGGATTAAGGGAGTTACGATCAGACGGACTCGGGACCTAAACACTATTCCGCAAAAGAAACAGATACAAAACCCATAGAGTGGGATTGTGGAGTAATCGGAGGTCACGATAAGACAGGCCAGGCACCTAAACACTAATCCCACAACAAAGACATCTACCAATCCAGAGGCAGAAGAAAACATCTACCAAACGATATGTTTTTTACTAAATAAATGGAAGAACTTCCCACAAAACCCAATCCATGGCCTAAGGCCGAAAATGGAAAGATTGCAAAATCATATTCTAAAAACAGGAAGCAGCTTCGGCTCTCCTATTTCTTGTCTGCGATATCACTTATGTGGAAGCAGACGTTAAACACCAGGATACTACTACTACAGGTTTCTGTATCATATTATCGTTTACCCTGTGCTTGATAACGACAAGAGGATACTTGTTGAAACGTTGCACTATTAACGTTGCTAGTGATTGTTATCCATAAAGATGTGTTTGTATTTTTTTTCAAAGATCAGTCAGTGTTGAAGCCGATGTTTGCATTTTACAGTTCACATTTTTTAGGAACTGATCTTGGCCATAAGTTTTACAGCAACAATTATTACTGTTTTAAATCGTGTTTGAAAATCAATTGCTTACTATTACACAGGCATGAGCTTGATGGTAATATGATGGATGCATGTTATTAAATCTTTCTTGACCAGCTGTATCCCAAAAATCTGCAACATAAAACAAAGAACAAAATAAAATCCAACACAGATAGGTGCTTATCAGACACCCCTAACACGCCAACCCGCAGCAAATTGTTCCATCATTGCTCTAAAATCATTGACAACAAATCCTGTGGGGTTATTTTCAAAAAAAGTGACAACATGATCTTTGTCCCAAGCTTTATAAGTCAAAATGTGAACGATAGCTACACAACGCTTTTCAAATCTATAATTCGAAAAATGTTCAAAAGTGATGGGCTCCTTCTGGATATCCTCAATAACCCCTATGGACAAGGCTCTACAAGTACAATGCGACTGAAACACTCGCATTTGCGAGTGAATTTTGACAATGGCGACCAGATATTTATAAATGCTAGGTTTCTGGCGAGTGAACATATATCTTGAAGTCCCCAATTAACACTATAGCTATCTGAACTTTTCTCCGTAAAGATAACGTAATCGGCAATGATCCCAGTCAAATGTCACTCTTGTTACTTTCCTGGTTTGAAATTGGGTCAATCTCATTGTCCTCTGCGAGGAAATTCTCATTGCGCATGCGCTGTATTTATCGGAAGTTTGCGAGACAGCTGACAGCATGGCTAGCAGACGAATCAAACCTAACCTATATCGTCTTACTTTACTAGTAAAGTAACTTCGTCTCGCAGTGAGTCTCAGTTGGGGAAAAATGATGATAGTCATGCTACTGACGCTACACCACCCAAACAAGCAAAATTACAAGCTTCGCCGACCGCCGTCTTAGTCTCGCAGTGAGTCCCAGTCGGAAAAAAATGTTTAAAACATCTTTTTTTATTATTATTATAGGACGACGAGTTATGTATGTTCACAATATATTTAGCTATATCATACGACAAATTATTCTAATCTTCAGACTTGGCAACTGAAAATTTTGTTTGGCTAGTGGTTTTGAAAATTTACTTATGTTTGCACAAGTAAGTTCAAAATGCTGTGTAGAGCCTTGCCTATGGAATTGCAGAGAGCTGAAAATCAATACCGTTCATCCTCCCATGTCCCCAATGCTTTGAACCAAATTTGAAAGAAATCCATAAAAAATCTGTTTTCTATATCGGGTTAACAAGGTTTTTAAAAAGGGGGGGGGGGAAGGGATAACTTTAAATGACAGATCGCCGAGGACCGAAAATTGATAGGACTCATCCCTAATACGATTCCAATGCTTCACACCAAATTTGATAAGAAATCTGTAGTCTCTATCGCATTAACAATAAAATTGTTGACGAATCACCAGACGGGGCACAACTTTAAGGTCCATATTTTCAAAAAGTGTCTAAAATAATCTGTGATTAGGTCTAATCAGAAACTAGCTAGTTAGAGATTAGTGGTTAACTAAGTTTGGTATTCTCAAAAGTCAGATTAGCTAATCTTTGACTATAATTTTTTGTAATCAACGATTAAAATTCATGTTTAAACTTTGATTATAATTAAAAATTTAATCAATGATTAAATATACATGTAATCAGTGATTAAAAAGGTTTTTATCATTGATAAAGGATCCCAATTACAGGAAGTTGATTAGAAACATACATGTTTTAGAACAGTTTTTCCCATCCTAGGGTCCGTTAAATTATTATGGGGGTCCGCAAATTCTAAGGGGTTCATATGGGTGGGCAGGAAAGAAATATAATGTATGAAAAAGAAAGTCAATAAAAAATATAGTTCAGATATTTTTAGTATTGGAAATGAAATGAAATTGGGGTTTTATCGGGAAATTTTGTCCGGACAGCTGTATCAGTGATGGGATTTCAATATTTTTCTTGTCGGACATTTTACGTGTCAACAAAATATTCAAATCCCATACGTATTAAAAATAGGTGAACCTCGCTATTTTTCATATTTAATTCCCATACGGCAATCAAATTTATGACAGTAACAATCCTACAAAGTACAAACTAACTCATTTTCGTAATACACTGAATGAAAGCTTACCGATCCTGCTTCAGCATCAAATTCACAATAGTAGTCCTAATATTCCTGCAAAATTACGTGTCTTCGTTTATACGGCAGTAAATGAATGAAGAACTTCCTGAATAAGAATCGCTTTCTTGATGAGAATTTCATTATGGAATCTTAAAAGACGTAAAAGATATCGCAGACAAAATGACTGTCCATTGATTTGGGGTGCTATATACTCTTACGATATGTGACATCTAAGACTAGTTTATACATGCTGTCGGTTGGTACATGCTGTGATTAAAATTTCCGACAAGTCAATGTAGAAACCACGACGTAAACACGTAGATTAAAATTATAATCATTCTTATTGGATTGATGAATAGTCTGACAAAGGGGAAGCAATGACTTCTGTTTAAGATTAGATTGATGAATTGTCTGATAAAAAGATTAAGTCAGTCTTTTAAGCAGTTAATCAAGGAAGGTGTATAGACGGTATAACACGATAAATACGATAAATACGTTGATCTTTTAATTACCTAATCAATCCAGCCTATTATTAACGATAATCTGGTAGGTGTATAGACGGTATAACACGATAAATACGTTGATCGCTTAATTACCTAATCAATCCAGCCTATTATTAACGATAATCGGGTTGAGTGGTAGTTATACACTCAGTACACTATATTAATTTTGGAATTTTGAATATTATTCACCATATCTTGATGTCCGATTGGCCATATTCCTGGTCGGACATTTTTGGACGTTCGGAAAATAGCGTCGGACATGTCAGGAATATACAGGCGAAATCCCATCACTGAGCTGTACTATGGCTCACAGTTATACCAAATTCTAAATGCCAAGGGTTTTTTTATGTGCGTCTCAATCTGTACAGGGTATTTCAGTTTGTCATCAATCCAAATGACTATGTTGTCCCTTGCAAGGCCCTCTGTTTTACACCATCGTGGCTCCCTTTTAGTAATCGAAAAATGAATTTCTGTTGCTAATATAGAAGTTACATTTGTTCTCCTGACAAATAGAAGCGCAGGAACATATTAATTTTATGCCCCCTCTTTGCTATTAAAATCCGAAATTATCACTATTTGTCTATTTTGCATAAACTTTCTATATCTGTATTCTTTTTTTTTTTTTTTTTTATCCGCTTTAGGGTTCTCATAATACTACAAATTGTAGTGGAATTCTAGTTTTCTTCAGATATGGGAATTTTGACAGATTACAAAATAAATATTATTTATAATAAATTTTTACGAGTTGCTTGACCTAGAACATAGGTTCCGAACCTTTTTTGGGTGGCAACCCCATTCCAGACCCAGGATCAGATCGCAACCCCTCGAAGAACAAAGTCACATTTTACTTATAATAGAAACCTAGATCAATGAATTGTTCATGGTAAGGTCGTCCATGCGACGCCGGCCATCTCCCTTCACAACAAGTAACCACTTTAAAGAGAACGTAATGTTCAAGAAGATCCGACGTAAAATGAATGAACCAACGCTGATGACTCTCAGGCCCGAAAACTACCTGAATTGCGCCTGCGATGTAGGTCGAGCAATTATTCAATAGTAATTAGGATGCTGGGCTAATGCACAAAGTGAAAGGCACCCAGGTATCTTAACCCATTTCAAAAGAGTTTCATTAGTTTCACGTCTTGCACATATATGTAGTAAATGATCAGAATCTTGAAAATATGGCAATAGAGGTAAATGTGTCAGAAACATGAATAACAGGAGGAAATTTTATGAGCATTTGTGAGATTAAACTGAAAGGGAGTTAAGAGATGGGGATTATAAGGTCCTTGGTATTATTATCTACGGGGAAACCCGTCAGAGTGAGAAAACAATGATAGGCCGATGAAACAAATCGTGGCCATGAGAGGAAATAGATTAGCAATGTGGCAAGAGCTGTATAGATCACATGTTCCCGAAGCAACGGCCGCAGTTTTACAAGTTCAATCCGTTACCAGAATTGCCTTTTAGGTACGTTATTTCCCTTTACTGCAGACACGTGAACAATAACGTTGTCCAATCAGAAGTCGTGATACAAACATATCCAAATACAAACATTGCGATCTCCACCAAAAAATGAATAGATAACACTAGGGACCGGGTATCGTCCAGACTTTACGAAAAAAGTAAAGAAACTAAGCTTATCGTCATGAATTTAATACACGTATCCAGCTAATAGATTGCCGTCAAGAATGTGTTAAATGCCGTCAAGATTCACCAAAAACCGCCCAGTTTGTGCAAAGTTCAAGGTTCGGTCAATGTCAAGGTTGCAAGAAATTTCCAATACAAAGAGACTTGCTGCTGCCAATTTTCGTGCATGTGCGAATATCAAAAGTAACCAAGATCTTTGGGTTATAAACTTCTGTTTCAAGTTTCAACAAAATCGGATAAAAATTATGACCTCTATAGGTTCCACAAGCTAAAAACGCGATTTTTCGTACAATCAGGGGCCATAATTCAGGAAGTTATGGTCCGATATGCGCGAATATCGACAAGAACCGAAATCTTTGGGTTATAAACTTACATTTCAGGTTTCAACAAAATCAGATAAAAGTTGTGACCTCTATAGGATCCACAACCTTGATATACCATATAATTACGCTATTTGAGAACGAACGGCGGCCATTTGTCTGTCAATTTTGGGCCCATTTTCACGAAATTCGAACTCAGTCGTCCTTAGGGTATAACAGTCATATAATAATACAGGTTTTTAAATCGGATAAAAATTATGACTTCTATAGGGTCCACAAGCTAAAAACGCGATTTTTCCTACAATCAGGGATCAGAATTCAGGAAGTTATGGTCCGATATGCGCGAATATCGAAAGGAACCAAGATCTTTGGGTTATAAACTTACATTTCAAGTTTCAACAAAATCGGATAAAAATTGTGACCTCTATATGGTCCACAAGCTAAAAACGTGATTTTTCGTACAAACAGGGGCCATAATCCATGAAGTTTCGATCCAATACATGCCAATATTGAAAGCAGCAGAGATCTTTTGGGGATAAACCTATATTTCAAGTTTCGTCAAAATCGGATAAGAATTGTGACC